GTGAAGTGTGACATAGTCATCTGGTCCTGGAAAAGAGGAAGAAGAGAGGTTGTTCCTATCCGGCTCAGAGGACCATAAAACAGTGCCACCTTGTAACTGAGAGGTCATTTGGTGTAATTGTAAAACTCACCCTGTCACAGCGGTACTCTCCAAACTTTACCCCCCGTACAGTCTGTTGGTAGATGAGGTTGGTGGCCACAGCATCGTCTGCAGGGTTGTGCCAGGGCGTGAATATCTCCTTCCTGTAGAACAGTCTCCAGGGGGCGTTCCTCTCCTGGGCACCCTGCTCCTTGGCATACTGCTCACACTGGGACACCGCGTCCATCACATGGTCCTTACCACTGCCTAGGGAGGAGACCTAGAGGTACACACACACAGCTCACACCGGAATACTGCACATGCATGGTATGTGTGCGTGTGCATGCCTGCCTGTGTACCCGTGTGTGTGTGTGTGCATGGCTGTGTATTACCTTGTCAAACAGGGCGATGTAGAGAGAGAATCCAAAGCGGTCTCTGAGGCTGATCTTGTCTGCCAGGGCGTTACACAGCTCCATGGCAGTAGTAGCTGAGTCTGTCAACAACGTCTTAGTGGTCCCATCCATAAAGGTTACTGGCAACATGATGGGCTTCTTAGACTTAGTGGCCTGGGAGAGAGAGAAAGAGGAGGAGAGGGGGGGAGGAGAGGGGGGGGGGGGGGGGGGTGTAGAGAGGGGGGGGGGGGGGAGAGAGGGGGGGGGTGAGAGGGGGGGAAGGAGGAGAGAGAGGGGGAGAGGAGGAGAGAGAGAGGGGGGGAGGAGGAGAGAGAGAGGGGATGAGGAGAGAGAGGGGGGAGGAAGAGAAGAGATGGGGAGGAGATAGAGGGGGGGAGGAGGAGAGAGAGAGGGGGGAGGAGAGAGATGGGAGGGAGGAGAGAGGTGAGGAGGAGAGAAAGAGGGAGAGGAGAGAGAGAGAGGGGATGGGGAGAGAGGGGGAGGAGGGAGAGGGGGGAAAGGGAGAGAGGGGGGGAGGAGGAGAGAGAGGGGAGGGAGTAGAGTAGAGGGGGGGGAGGAGAGAGGGGTGGAGGAGGGAGGGGGGGAGGAGCGAGAGAGAGGGGGAGGAGGAGAGAGAGGGGGGAGGAGAGAGAGGGGGGAGGAGAGAGAGGGGGAGGAGGAGGAGAGAGAGGGGGGGAGGAGGAGAGAGGGGGCGAGGGAGAGAGAGGGGCGGAGCGAGAGGGGGGGAGGAGAGAGAGAGGACAGAGGGAGGGGGGAGCAGAAGAGAGGTGGAGAGAGGAGAGTAGAGAGGTAAGGGGTGTGTGTGTGTGTGTGTGTGTGTGTGTGTGTGGTGTTGTATGTATGTATGTGTATGTGTGTAGTGTGTGTATATGTGTGTGTGTGTTGTGTGAGTGTGTGTGTGTGTGGTGGTGTTGTGTGGTGATGCGTGTGTACCTGTAGCTCCAGCCAGGACGGGGGTTGTGTTCTGGTGCCGTTAACAAACGTGCGTCTGAGTCTCTCCTCGCAGTAGGGGGCGTAGCCAGGAGGACCACCATGGATGTAGTTACGCAGGTACTGGAGGAGACAGGATGTAATGCAGTTATAGAGGAAGTTATGTAATTATAGAGAAAGTATAGAGTTTAACAATTCTACGTCCCAAATGGCTCTGTGGGTCCTGGTCAAAAGTATAAAGGGAATAGGGTGTCATTTGGGACGCAGACAGAGAGTCTGTAGTAGTATGTGTATTCTGACTGACCTTGACAAACTTCTCAGAGGGAGCGAAGCAGCCGACACACAGAGAGATGAGGATCCAGCCTCGGGCATGACTGCTCTTAGATGGGTTCTGGTTCAACTGCTTACAGATCTGGCAGTAGATCTCATCCCTACAGAGTACAGACACAGGACAGGTCAGAGTGTGTGTTCGTGTGGGTGTGTGTATGCGTGTGTGTGTGTCTACCTCAGGGCAGGTCGTAGTATTCCGTTGCCGATGATGAAGTGGAGTTTCTCCAGGTTAGAGGTGGGCCGGTCCTCCAACATGCTGTTGCCATGGAGACTAATCTCTCCGTCGTTCAGGCGCTTGGTCACCTAACAGAAAACGCATCATCAACACTGGACATTCTATCCAATCTACATACTCCTTGCGTCCCAAATGGCACCCTATCCCTATATAGTGCACTACTTTTTACCATGGAGCATAGGGCTCTGGTCAAAAGTAATTTACTAAATAGGGAATAGGGTGCCATTTGGGAAGCTGTCGAAGAGTCTAGGAGCTAAGGGCCATTTCATCCCTTCTAGAATGCTTTCAACTCCAACACCTCCTCCTCCTCTCTCTCACCTCCTCAGTGATCTTGGACTTCTTCTTCAGGGTGAGGGACACTAGTTTGTGTCGGACACTGTTCTTCTTGTTGCTGTCTAAATGGGGGGTCTGTGGGGGAGGGGACACAGCTTATAAATCAGCTAGGAAACATCTTCTAGGAAGCACTACTGTACTGTACTACCCAGAGCAACACTACAGGTGTATCAGAACATGACGGTTTAACTCAGTTAGAATCTAACCGAATGAGATTATAGCTAAGTGTTATTATCGATTACTCCCTCCTCTTCCCTCCTCTCCCCCCCTCACTTTAGTCATTTAGCAGACGCTCTTATTCAGAGCGACTTACAGTTAGTGCATTCATCTTCAGATAGCTAGGTGAGACAACCACATATCACAGTCGTAGTAAGTACTCTCACCTCTCCCTCCCCCTGCAGGGCCTGTAGTTCTCTCTTGTAGGTTTTCTTGCCCAATGTCTCGTAGATCTTGGTCATCACAGGGATCTTCTCTGAGCCGTCGGTGATGGCCGTGTGGTACTTGGGCTCTGGGAGATCTCCCATGAACCTCAGCACCGTGATCCACACCGCCAACGCCGCCTAGGGGGGAGAGAAACCAACAGTGTTAGGGTTGCAACCTTTCCGTTACTTTCCCAAATTTCCCTGGTTTTCTATAAATCATGGTTGGAAGATTCTGGATTTCCTGCTTATTCCCTCCTGATTTCAGGAAACCTCCAATCTGGATTTCTGGACAACCGGGGTAGGGAAAAGTTACTGGAATTTTGCAACCCTAAATAGTGTTCATACTGTGATTATAAAAAGTACAGTTCGGTAGAAGGAGGCTGCCTGAAAGGACAGTCTGACAAACACCCTTGGTCTACTGGGGTTAGAGGTCAGGGGTTAGGTGTCAGGGGTCAGAGTTGAGAGGTCATGTGACCTACCAGCTGGTCACCCTCATCGTCATGAAACAGCAGCGGTTGTTTGAGCGGCCGTCGGACGTAGGTGTGTATGGTGGTGCCCTGGAAATAGGTGGCAGCGAACTTGGCAAATTTATACTCCGACAGGTCATCCTCCTCATCCTCAGGGAGAGGAAGAACATCATCTAAATCCTCCTCCTCAAGCTCCTTCTGGGCACGTTCCAAGTCCTACACACAGATACACGCACACACACGTAAGCACACATGCAGACACACACACAAAGACACTTAGAGAACGATTTGAACATAGCCCAGAGCAGATTCAGATGTTAACTGTAGCAGTGTGTCTGTGTGTCCACTAGGTGGCGACCTCCTCACCTCGAACCCAGCTGGTGGCGCCCCCTCCTGGCCAGGGAAGGAGTTTGTTGTCCCCAGGAAGCCAAACATCTTATCCACCATGTCAGAGTCGTTCACTGGCTCATGTCTTGCTTTCTCCATCTGCTCCACCATCTCCTTCTTCCTCCGCACCTTCCCTCTCTCTCTTCTCTCTTTCCGCGTCCTCCTTCGCTAGCTGGGCCAGTCTCTCCTGGTGGTTACGCTCTGCTTCAACCTACAGAAGACTGGGTGTTAATAGGTGTGTGTGTGTGTGCGTGTGTGCAGAGGCGTCATGCCCATAGGGGCCACAGTGGCACGTGCCCCCTCAGATTTGTCCTAAAACAATTGTTGTTTCTCTGTAATACTACTAGCCACATAGCTATTTTATGAAGTTGGCTTTAGCTAGCCCAAATAGGTTCCCAATCTGCCAACATCATAACTAGCTACCATGAAGCCATTTCAGGCTATCAAGTTAGAGTAGCTAGCTTGTCTAACTATCTTAGCTGGCATGCCAGCTGGCAAGGAAGCATATTTAGTTTCTTTAAATTCAGAACCACCAGTCAGGAGGATACAGACAGCACAAGAGGTATGCTTAGATATGCAGAAAAATACATATTTTTTACATAGAATTAAGCATAATGATTATGGCTCTAGATTGCAGGGCCTAGCCCCCCTCCAGACCACCCCCAGCCATCCTCACCTACTTTGTGCCCCCTCAGATTTTTGGGCTGCATGACGCCCGTGTGTGTGTGTGTGTGTGTGTGTGTGTGTGTGTGTGCATGTGTGTGAGTGTGAGTGTTCCAGACCTTGGCCTTCTTAGCGCTCATCTGGTTCCTCAGCTTCTCCTCCTCAGCCAGACGCAACTTCTCTGCCTCCAACCTCCTCCGATACTGAGAGAGAAAGAGGGAGGAAACAGAGGTAGAGAGAGAGAGAGAGGTAGAGAGAGAATGAGAAAGAGCGCGCGAGAGAGAGAGAGAGAGAGAGAGAGAGGAGAGAGAGAGAGAGAGAGAAAGGGTTAGGATGAGAGAGTGAGAGGGACTGAGGCTTTCTTTCAGTCTGCACTGCATGTGTCTGTGTCTCTGTCTCACCTCTCCCTTCAGTCTCTTGTAGAGGCGTCGTGCGATCATGCCCCGTGTGTGAGCCTGGATGGTGATGACGGCCCATAGGCGGTGTCTGAAGGCCCTTCGGACCAGACAGCCTCTACACCTGCCTGCAGACCCCGTCACCTCTGTCTGGCCACGTGGTACGTTACGTACAGCCGCCTGGAGCGGTACAACGCCTGGAGTCTGGCGAACCCTGCCCGCATCTAGGAGGTGGAGGGGAGGGGAGGGGAGGGGAGGGGAGGGGAGGGGGGGGAGGGGGGAGGAGGGGAGGGAGAGGAGGAGGAGAGGACATGGAGGAAATTTAATTAAAGAGATTGTCATTTGATTAAGTTCAGCTCATGTCAATAAGAAGTGATCAAGTTTTTAAAACTCACAGCTACATAGTTCTTGCGACAGTGATATCCTCGCCACGTCTTCTGGATCATCATGGCCGACTTTCTCATCTTCAGGAAGTTGGACCTGTTGAGACGAAGTGATGCGATTGTTAAATCAAAGCTGGTTGCAATGACTACAGTCTCACCCGGTTGCTTTGCTAACAGTCTAAACTGGTTGTTATGACTACAGTCTCACCTGGTTGCTATGCCAACAGTCTCACGGGGTTGCTATGACTACGGCCTCACCTGTCCTTGAAGCCTCGTACAACCTTCTGGATAAGGATGACCTTGTCCGTGATGGCCTTGTCTCTCTCGATCTCCAACAGCATGTCATGGTGGTCCTAAACACACACACGTGCAGACACACAGCCACACACACACACACACACAAACCAGAAGTGATCATCAGTAGATTCCAAACAGACTTTCTAAAGACCCTCTGATTTATGTTCTCTCTCTTCCTCTCATCTGTCCATTTCCTCTCCTCCTCTGATCTGTTTGTTTCCTGTAGGGGAAGTGTGGGCGCTGCCCTCGCTGCCCTGGCTTCACCTCGCTGATTTTACTTCCTGTTTTACTTCCTGTCCGACCAGCTAGTCGCTCTGATAACTACCTCAGCTATGATGACCATCAGTGTGGTAACTAGCCCACCACTGACCCCACCCCTAGTGCTGTCCTCGTTCAACTGTCAACAGAGGCACAACTGGGGTTGAGTTCCACTGCACAGCGAATTTCTCTCCCTGTTACTAAGACAGGGTATTGTAGACAACTCGCATATTTCAGATAAAACCCCTATCCAAAAATGCATAACTTCTCCCAAATGGTACCCTTTTTCCTATATAGTGCACTACTTTTGACCATTTACATGTTTTTTACATTTAGCAGACGCTCTTATCCAGAGCGACTTACAGGGGCAATTAGGGTTAAGTGCCTTGCACATCGACAGATTTTTCACCTAGCCGGCTCGGGGATTCAAACCAGCGACCTTTCGGTTACTGGTCCAACACTCTTAACTGCTAGGCTACCTGCCACCCACACAGAGACCAGGCACCCTAATATGGTGCTACTTGGGACTCAGCCCAGGTGTTAGTTACCTTGAGGAAGATCTTGGTCTTTCCCATCTGCCAATCATCATCTCTCCCCAGGATAGCTTCCGCTATACGCTGACAAGTTCCCCTCAGGTCCTCCTACACACATACACATCAAGATCGGACATCAGTGGGCAGGTAACCATTGACAACGGTCACTGACAAGGCAAGCTTTGGCGAAGACTGATCAAGATCAAAACACGTCAGCGTTTTTAAATAAGTGCACCATGCATTGAAAAAACGTTATTGTTGCGGTCAGTTTGGGAGATACCATCACCTTTTATTTTTTGGACTACATGACTTTACCCAGATGAGCACCCCATAGAAGGCTTTTAGTGTCACTGGCACATCTAAACTCTAACGGTCACATACCTGTTTGTATGCAGGTTTGACTCCTGGCATAAGGACTCTGTAGCGGTCCACAAACTCAACAAAGGTGTATCTGATTGGATAACCAGCTCTGCGGATACGAATGGTCTCCATCATGCCTGAATACCTCAGCTGACGAACACACAGCTCCCTGTCAAACAGCTGGGAGAGATAAGACAGACACACAGACACACACACAACAATTACATTTTTACAAACAAACACACACACACACACACACACACACGCGCAGACACACACATACTCACCATGGGTTTCTTGTACTCATTGGGTTTAATGCAGCGTACAAAGAAGGGCTGACACACACTCAGAGTCCTCATCAGCAGTTCCAGAGAACGCTTGAACTGACTGCTCAGAGTGGGAGAGCGCTTCCTGGTCTCCGCCCCCTACAGCACAAACACACATCAACATGGGTTAGTAACAATGGATTCTATCCCTTTCCCTCTCTCTCTCCTTTTTCCACTCTCTCTTTTGCTCTGTTAAGTTCCCTTTTATTCCCATACAGGAAACCAGGCTAAATGTAGCTCATATTGTGACAGATATATTTTGACAGTGTTTAAAATGTTCTACACATCTCATTGTAAAAAAAAACATGTCCAGGTTAGACCTGTTTTAAAGTAATGCCAACAACAGTTCTATCAAAGCTATTGTTCTAAATACACTGAGTGTACAAAACATTAAGGATACCTTCCTAATATTGTGTTTCACCCACCCCTTTTGCCCTCAGAACAGCCTCAACTCGACGGGAAAGCAAGCTCATGCAAGAGAGAGGACGCCCACTTATACAGACAGGTCCCTTGACCATTTTTTTCAATGGCTATTATTCAACATCTTCATTACCCACCATCTTTGCAGAGGTGAGAGAGAACCAGGAAGTAGACAGGAAGGGATGTCACCAAAACATGGCCACCAAGTTTAAGGAGAGAGAGAGAGAGAGTTGCAACCTGGGCTCCACTGAACATTGGACGATATGTCTGCTATACACAGCCAGCGGATGGAGGCAGGGAGTGAGGGAGGAGGGAGTGGAGATTATTTATCCTCTTTTCTTCTTTTACCTTCAGAGGAGTGTCAGGTTGGTCCATATTATCACCCGGCAAGTAGCCAACCAGAAACTAAGCCAGACATACAGTACCAGTCAAAAGTTTGGACAAAAAAGTGTTAAACAAATCAAAATATATTTTATATTTGAGATTCTTCAAATAGCCACCCTTTGCCTTGATGACAGCTTTGCACACTCTTGGCATTCTCTCAACCAGCTTCACCTGGATTGATTTGTTTAACACTTTTTGGGTTACAACATGATTCCATATGTGTTATTTCATAGTTTTGATGTCTTCACTATTATTCTACAATATAAAAACAATTTAAAAATAAAGAAAAACCCTTGAATGAGTAGGTGTGTCCAAACTTTTGACTGATAGTGTACATACGTGTGCATGCACGCACGTGTGATATGCAGACACACAGATACAAACACACACACACACATACACAGACATGCAGATACAAACACACAGACAGAGGAAAGACAGTGTACGTTAGCATCTTGACACACATTAATGAAGAGACAGAGGGAGGAGAAGAGCGCAAGCAGCATGCCATGCAGAGACAACAACCCTTGAGACAACTCCGTCCCAAATGGCACCCTATTCCCTATTTAGTACACTACTTCTGATCAGAGCCATTTGTGCACTATAAGGGAATAGGGTGCCATTTGGGATGCAGACCATAAGATAACCAGAACAGGCACAGCCATCTGTCTGGAACACTTCATGATGACCACTCAGAGAAACTAGCTAACAGGTAGTGAGTGATCTGTGATGTCATCAAGGTGTAGCGAGGAGAGGTGGGTCGAGTGACTTTGTGGTTGCTAGAGCGAAGGGTTGCTTGGGTGACGGAGGGTGCGTTACCATGGCAACATCGGCCTGGAAGATCTGCTTGATGAACTTGTTCCTGGAGGAGTGAACCAGCTGAATGATGTCACCGTGCAGGGTGTCTCTGTTCTTCTCCAAGAAACCTATTATTGATAAGGCTATTGGTTATTGATAAGGCTATTGGTTATTGATAAGGTTATTGATATTGTTTAGGAAATTGGGTCTAGTCGGTCCTATCCTCTATTAGTCCTGAGAATAACCTTTTACAGTGACTTTTCCATTGAGGGTCGTCATCACAAAACCCTGATGAAGGCTATGGGCCAAAGCATGTTGGTTTTAACATTAACATGTTGGTTTTAACTTCCACTGTCCTCCAAGAGTTGCTGAATTTGGTCATCATGTTGTATGTGATCATCGCCATAATGTTGTCACGTACCTCGTGTCTCGTAGTAGACTACCCCAGCAAAGTGCTGGATGCCAAACTGAGTCTCATAAGTGTTCTTAGGAGGGATGTAGTTGGTGTTCAATTTATGTTGAGAGTTCAACTTATTCAACATAGTGGTGTCTGTACCCTGAGACAGAGAGAGAGAGAGGTGGGAGAGAGAGAGAGAGAGAAGGTGAGAGGGATGGGTTAGGGAGATATGATCTAACTAAGTACCCTTGGAACTGATAGAGTAGATTTACACAAATATTTCATTATACATTTGTTCTCTCCCCATTATACTGTATCCATCTATAATGTAATAATGTAATTGTTACCTCTTCTCTCCCTCTATCCTCTTCCTTCTATGTTAGGGAACTACAGATGTAGGACCTTAATTTGAGCCAGATTGCTACAGCAGGAAAATAATCCTGCAGCAACAGGAAATGTGAATTATTATGTGGATTATAATTAATGGACATTTTTGTAGGGGGAAATCAAGTCTGAAATTTCTAAGTGGAAATTACAAACTTCAGAAGCCTTTTTACACCCCCATACGCTACAAGTTTGACATTTCCTGCAACAGGGTGATCAAATTAAGATCCTACATCTGTATATGTACTGTATCTATCTATAGTGTAGTTACATTGGGGAAATTGCTCTCCTCATCTATGAGGCTGATGATGTTCATGGGTTTGATACGATCATGTCTCTCATCCCTCTTTCCCCCACCCCCTATCCTCCTCTCCCCTCCTCAAGGTTATACGGTCATCATTACCTTGGGGAACTTGCTCTCCTCGTCTATGAGGCTGATGATGTTCATGGGTTTGATAGCGATCATGTCAAGGGCGTCCTGGTTGTCTGTGAACTCGATGTGTTGCCAGTTGATGTGTTCCAGGTTGTATTCCTCCTGCTCCAGCTTGAACACATGTCTCACAAAGAACTGCTGCAGGTTCTCGTTGGCAAAGTTGATGCAGAGCTGCTCAAAACTGTTGATGGGGAGACACACACACACACCAACACACACAGGAACACACAGACACACATATATGAACTTAGAGCAGGTAAACTGACACAAACTGCAGTGGTCAGATGTGTGTCTCTATTCTGTGTGTGTGTGTGTGTGTACCTGTTGATGGTGAAGTTTTCGAAGCCAAAGATGTCTAGTAGTCCTATAGAGCGTCTGAGGGCTTTGGGCTCGTGGGACGGAGGCTTGTAGATCGCTGCATTGATCTTCTCTACAATCCACACAAACAGACGACCGTAGATCCCCTACACACACACACAATATACATATGCCAGAGAGTGTGTGAAAAAGTGTGTTACACACCTGAGAGCATGTTAATGTGTGTGTGTGTGTGTTACCTTGACAAAAGCGTCCCGTACGTCCAGAGCCTGCTCTATACTGAGGGGAGTGGAGACTGTTTCTCCTCTAGTGATCAGAGTCCTACTGGTCAAACAGTTCATCAGGTCTTTACAGTCCACCTACACGCGTGCACACACACAGCAACATTAAGTCAGAAAACACACTTATTTCACACCATCAACCAACGGTGACAACAGTCCAGATTTGCGTGTTTCACAAGTGGGAAAGGGGACGTAGAGCGAGAGAGAGGAGGAGAGAGAGAGAAGAGAGTGTACGAGAGAGAGAGAGAGGAGAGAGTAGTAGATATGAGATAGAGAGGAGAAAGTATAGCTAGCGAGAGAGAGATCTAGCTCTATAAAGCATAGTTAGGATCTATCGAGGCTCTCGATATCAGTGAATCTGATCTGAAACTAGTTATGTCTATCGGTGTCTCTCTATGCTCACTGTCATCTCTCTCTTCTTATGTCTGGCTATAGGTAGGTCTGTCGTCTTATGTCTCTCGGTACTCTCGTATCTGAGAATGTATCGGTCAGATAGAAAGGGAGAGGTCTAGTAGAAAGGGAGAGAGCAGAGAGACGAGAGAGAGAGAGAAGAGCGGAGAGAGAAGATAGAGGAGCAGAGAGGAGATAGAGAGAGAGTCTCTCTCTCCTCTCTCTCTCTCTCTCTCTCTCTCTCTCTCTCTCTCTCTCTTCTCTCTCTCTCTCTCTCTCTCTCTCTCTCTCTCTCTCTCTCTCTCTCTCATGTTAACATTGCCAAAGCAAGTGAAGTAGATAGTAAACAAAAGTGAAATAAATATTAACAGTAAACATTACACTCAGAAGTTCCAGTGTTTTTCCAGTGTTATAACAATGTGCAAATAGTTAAAGTACACATGGAAAAATAAATAAACATGGCTTTGTTATGGAAGGTTTGGGAATCGCTTCCTTTTAAGTGGTTATAGAATTTAACGGCTCTTTTCTGGATTTTGATAATTAGCGGGTATTGGCCTAATTCTGCTCTGCATGCATTATTTGGTGTTTTTCGTTGTACACTGAGGATATTTTTGCAGAAATCTTTATGCAGAGTCTCGATTTGGTGTTTGTCCCATTTTGTGAATTCTTGGTTGGTGAGCGGACCCAAGACCTCACAACCATAAAGGGCAATGTGTTCTATAACTGATTCAAGTATTTTTAGCCAGATCCTAATTGGTATGTCAAATTTTATCTTCCTTTTGATGGCATAGAAAGCTCTTCTTGCCTTGTCTCTCAGATCGTTCACAGCTTTGTGGAAGTTACCTGTGGCGCTGATGTTTACGCCGAGGTATGTATAGTTTTTTGTGTGCTCTAGGGCAACAGTGTCTAGATGGAATTTGTATTTGTGGTCCTGGCAACTGGACCTTTTTTGGAACACCATTATATTTGTCTTACTGAGATTTACTGTCAGGGCCCAGGTCTGACAGAATCTGTGCAGAAGATCTAGGTGCTGCTGTAGGCCCTCCTTGGTTGGTAACAGAAGCACCAGATCATCAGCAAACAGTAGACATTTGACTTCAGATTCTAGTAGGGTGAGGCCGGGTGCTGCAGACTGTTCTAGTGCCCTCGCCAATTCATTTATATATATGTTGAAGAGGGTGGGGCTTAAACTGCATCCCTGTCTCACCCCACGGCCCTGTGGAAAGAAATGTGTGTGTTGATTTCTGACATGCTGTTCCTTCTTTTTCCGTAGTGTATTTCTGTATTGTTTTAGTGATTCACTATAGTGAAGGCATAGGCTCAGGTTTTCTTGGTTGGATAGGTTTCTCAATTTCTTTCTTAGGTTTTTGCATTCTTCATCAAACCATTTATCACTGTTGTTACTTTTCTTCGGTTTTCTGTTAGAGATTTTTAGATTTGATAGGGAAGCTGAGTGGTCAAATATACTGTTTAGGTTTTCTACTGCCAAGTTTACACCTTCACTATGACAGTGGAACGTTTTGTCCAGGAAATTGTCTAGAATGGATTGAATTTGCTCCCTCTCTCCCTCGCTCCCTCCCTCCACCTCCCTCCCTCCCCCCCAGTGGTCTAGTACTCACCTGTAGCTCTCCGGCAGCTATGACATAACTAGTTCAGGTTACTGCTGTACAACCACTCAGTGGATAAAGTAGGTGTGTGTATGTACGGTAGGTTTATGGGTACAGTGTGTGTGTGCGTGTGTTACCTCCAGCAGTGTAGCAGCAGAAGTCAGGTCTATGCTGCGGACCACCTCACAGGCATCCAGGTTGTCATAGGTACGAGCTAGGGGTCAGGGGTCAGAGGTTGGAGGTAGATGACAGTGAAGTCAGCATGATGTCATTTCAATATGTGTGAGTGTGTGTATGTGTGTGTACGCACGCACGTGCATGTGTGCATTCATGCGTGCATTTGTGTGTGTGTATCTATTACCTTCATAACGCAGGTTCCCCATATGTAGTATAGAGGCCAATAGTTTGGAGATCATCCAATTCTCAGTGTCAGAGAACATCAACACCTTCATGGCTGATTGGATGTTTGAATACTCCTTCATATCATCACGACCATCACACACAGTACACTTCCCCTGGAGGGAGTGAGGGAGGAGAAGAGAAGAGAAGAGAAGAGAAGAGAAGAGAAGAGAAGAGAAGAGAAGAGAAGAGAAGAGAAGAGAAGAGAAGAGAAGAGAGAGAAGAGAAGGAGAAGAGAGAAGAGAAGAGAAAGAGAAGAGAAGAGAAGAGAGAAGAGGAAGAGAAGAGAAGAGAAGAGAAGAGAAGAGAAGAGAAGAGAAGAGAAGAGAAGAGAAGAGAAGAGGAGAGAAGAGGAGAGGAGAGGAGAGGAGAGGAGAGGAGAAGAGAGAACTTTAGTTGAATTATATTTTCTCACTACTGTTATATTAACGTTGTTAAAGTGTTAGCTAAGTGTTGTCCTACTATAGTAAGGTAGCTGTAGTCTGTGGCTTTCCCTAGTCCCAGTTTCTTCTTCTGGTCTGAAGGCATGCCCTTCAACATACAGTAGAAGATATGGTAGTTCCTCTCATCACGAGCCTGCAGGGAGAGTGAGGGGGAATAGAGATGACACGATAGTGACCAAAATAACACAGCTCCTAGACTGTATCACAGGATATAGGACAGTTGCTTACTTCAGCTAGCTAACACTGCCTGTTGCAAAACGTTTTGCTACATTTTGCTATGATGTACACTAATGAATACAACCCTGTCTGCAGACCCTATAACCCTGCCTCCTGAATCCATACCTGTCTGCAGACTCGTGACTTCTCCAGCAGGTACTGTTCTATCTTGGCCCCCTCTATGGCTCCTCTCTTGTTGAAGTGGATATCGATGTATTTCCCAAAGCGGCTAGAGTTATCATTACGGATCGTCTTAGCGTTACCAAACGCTGCGGACAGACAACACAAAGCCCTCAACACTCAGAACTATAACTACTATAGGGTTTATTATTGTGTATTGTGTGTGTGTGTGTGTGTGTGTGTGTGTGTGTGTGTGTGTGTGTGTGTGTGTGTGTGTGTGTGTGTGTGTGTGTGTGTGTGTGTGTGTGTGTGTGTGTGTATGTGTCCTACCCTCCAGTATAGGATTAGCCTCCAGGACCTGTTGTTCTATCCAGGAGTGTTGTCCACTGATGGCTGCTAGGAACTGGAGGATCAGCTTAGTGCTCTCTGTCTTCCCTGCTCCAGACTCTCCACTGAGAACACACACACACAAAATTAGATCCGACTTGGTGCTCTCACTCGCTTCTGAGAATATACACACACACCCAGACACACACACTCCTCTCCCGCTCACACACCTGATGATGCAGCACTGGTCTCTGTTGTTTCTCTGCATGTTGAAGTAACAGTTATCTGCGATGGCAAAGATGTGTGGAGGCATCTCTCCTATCTTCTTATTGGTGTACAGGCGGATCTGGTCAGCTGTGTAGATGGGTAGCACCTGGTAGGGGTTTACTGCCACCAGGATAGAGCCTGTATACGTCTGGAGGGGATATGGGGGTAGAGGGCAAAGGGCAAAGGTAGGACACCAAATCAAAGATCCTACAAAAGGGAAGCTAAGATGGGTCATGCAGTGCTGTGCAGTGCTGCAGTAGAGATGAGATGCACGTTAGTACAACAACTCTGCATTCTGTGATCAGTTTAAATGGACAGACAGACAGGCACATTGCAGCAGGACAGTAGTACTTTATAGTTGGCCATTCTCATTCACCTGCCACATGAAAATGAGGGGAGGATGAAGTCTGTGTGTACGTGTGAGTTGGGAGCAGAAGTGACGTGGGTTTCGTCTCTCAGATGCAGTCAGTGACAATTGAGTATCAGTAACGGTCACTGGAGCCACGATAGCCATGCCAGAAATGGAGTAACAAAAGTACCTCATGCACATACATACGCTCACGCACACTCACAAAGACATACAAACACTAACACATGCACTCATACACCCACAGACAGACAGACACACACACACTCATACGGACACTCAGGCAGCCATGCATGATACCCCTGTACTTACTCTCCCACCACAGTTAGTCTACAGGAAGGAAGGAGGAAAGAACGAGAAAGAAAGAGAGAGGGGAAAGGAGGAAGAGGAGGGACAGAGTGAGGGAGGAAGAAGGGAGAGAAAGAGGTGAAAAACAAGACAAAAGCACAGGTTGACTGAGAGCAGGAGAGACTCAAACAGATAGAGGGAATGCAGAAAGAAAGAAAGAAAGAAAGAAAGAAAGAAAGAAAGAAAGAAACAAAGAAAGAAACAAAGAAACAAAGAAAGAACAGAGAGCTCCAGGCGTGCCTCACCAGCTCCTAGCAGTAGTAGTATAGTAGTAGCACTGCAGTAGTAGAATAGTAGTAGTGTAGTAGTACTCACATATATAAGGTGTTCCCTAAATCGTATGAGCAGGTTGTATTACTCTACTAGTATAGTAGTAGTACAGTAGTAGTACTTACATATATAAGGTGTTCTGTATATCGTATAAGCAGGTTGCGGAGGATACCGGCCTCGTTGAGGTCTCCCAGGCGGATCATGTCCTCCACCCCATGGATGGAGGTGGGGTGCATGGGCTTAATGTTGGTTGCATTCTGGGGGGATATCCAATGCTCCTGGAGAAAGAAGGGGCTGTTTGTGTAGTGCTGGAACAAATGCCTGCAACATTTTGGCCACCCCAAATTATTATTTTGTGTGAATGTTGAGAGAATGTTGTGTGAATGTTGTGGGAATGATGTGAGAACGTTGTAAGAAGGGTGTGTGAATGTTGTGTAAATGTGTTGTGTGGATGTTTGAGACTCACGTTTCCCTCATCATCCAGAACCTGTATCTGTCCAGAGTCACAGAGTTTGACCACGGCTCCGATAGGGACCACAAACTCCCGGCCCGTCTTCAGGTCCAACCACACATAGTCCCCCTGGGAGAGGATAAATACAACAACCCATCAAACCAACACAATACATGGTTTGCATCCCAAATGGCACCATATTCCCTATATAGAGCACTAGGTGTGTAGCGAATAGTGTACCATTTGGGACGGAGTTAGTATATTTACAGGTCCACATATCGAGAGGGAGAGAGAGAGAGAGAGAGAGTGAGAGTGAGAGCGCGAGAGAGATGGCAAAGTATTATAAAAGCAGAAGGTGTATTGCAGACATAGAAGAGGTGGTGATATGGTTGATCGAGATGACATCTTAGAGCAGTACTGACAGGGTTCAGTGTCATAATCAACATAATTCAATGACATCATCAATGTCACACACACACACCGCTGTGCATCAGGCCTAACACCCCTTAGTGCTTTATTATTTACCACATACAGTACCTCCGCTTCTTGTACTTGATTGCTTTTTAATATACAGCAGAATGAACTGTCTAATATCTTTCCCTTGGGGACAATAGATTTTATTGTATCGTAAACGTGGCTTCTATATGGTAAACCAATTACAACACTGCCTAAGCTCCTCTGATAGCTCAACAAGATTACCTGCAATCCATTCACAATACTAAACACAGTCCTATACACACACACACACACAGTGTTGTAGTCCTACCGGTAGCAGTGTAGAGTGCTTGAAGACAGTGTTGACGTTTCGTACTAGAGCCCATTTAGCCTGGTCTTTCTCATAAAGGTCCACATAGTCACGACGCTTGTACATCCTCAATGTTAGTCCACACACACAGACAACCCTCAATGTCTTCCACTGGCCAAACCCTAGTCCTCCAGTACTCTATTCCTCACATACACCTTCTCAAAGTCTTCCACCATCCAACCCTAATTTGCCCAGTAGTCAAGTCCTCAAGTCCTATATACATCCCACCAACTCCACACCAGGTGGTCGCCAACGGTAACGTGTTCTGATATCAAAGATGCAATGAATATTGGCTCCGCCTCTTCCTCTTTGGTTCTAAGTTTGAGAACAGGAACGAGTAATAATAGAAAAATAACAATCCACTATCCTCCCTGCCTCCAGCCAACACTGCTCCTACACAGAGTTACAGACTGTCTGTCTGTGGAACAGGCTTAGACCCACACAGATAGATAAAAACAACAACAGCAACAAAAGAGAGAAAATGCTGTCTGTGTGACTGTCTGGAAGACCTCCTGAGAGACACAGCTACAGGATGAAAGAAGACCCCTGGGTAGATCTACTCCTCCTCTCCTCCTTCTTCCTTCCTCTCCTCTTTCTGTTCCTCTGCTCCTGAGGAAACTGAATCTAGGTCCTGGTGTTGTGTCTATCTGCTCTCGTATTCCTGATCCACTCACACCATCACTGCTCCCTCTCTATTTCTACTCATCCCTCTCTCCCTTTTCTCTCTCTCTGTCCCTCTCTCTCTCTCTCTCTCTCTACATGTCTTTCCACAGCACATGTGGTCAATGGTTCTGAATACCTGCTACAGCAGTGACAGCAAGGAGGAGTGGAGAGCAGTGGAGGGGAGGAGTGTTGGGTGGAGAGATAGAGAGTGATAGGGGCTGGGTGGTAGCATCATTCCCTCTGTGTGTTATATGTCTGTTTAATTAAGTAAATACCCCTCTGGCAAACGACCTGGGACTGGACTGAACACTACACCACAGAACACAGCTGTCACACACACACGCACAATCACGCAGGCAGGCAGACACACACACACCTGTCACCAGGGCCAAAACCACTATCAGCAACCACAGTCTCAATAATTCATAAAGCCTACCAGATCTGTGTCTCTGTCTCCCCCTCCGTCCTTCTCTACCCCCCCCCCCCCCCCCCCCCCCCCTTCTCTCTCATTCGTTCTCTCTCTATGTCTCCCCCTCTCCTTCTTTCTCTCCCCCCTATCTCTGTCTATCCTGTATGCCAGGGTTCCCAACTGGTGGCCTGCGGGTCGAAATTGGCCCGCTGGTGATTTTATTTAGCCCCTGAGAAAAATAATGCATAAAATTAAAGACTATAAAAACATTTTAATTTTGGAAATCTGTTCCAAAGTATTCCCCACGCATAATAGAGCGATATGTGTGATCGTACACACTATACACTAAGCAAGGTTTGAAATGATTATGTTTAAGTCAAATGTTATATCTGTTTGGGCTTCTTGCAGTCAATTTGCAGTCTACAAACTATCTGCAATTTTTTCTGGCCCACTGACCATCCACTCAAGGAAAAATCGGCCTGCTGCTGAATCCAGTTGATGATCCCTGCTATATGCCTTATCAGATAGGTGTGTCTTACATCAGATAGGTGTTTCTTATTGTTGCCGCCCATAGCATTGAATGCAAGGGAAGCCAGCGAGCATTTGGCCTCCCTTGCTATTTAAAAAAAAATAATAGCCAATCAGCATAGTGCTAAACTGAGTGAGCTCAACTGTGAATGGTCCTGGCGCACCAAAAAAAAAGTGTCAAGGGAAGCCAAAAGGATTTGGCTTCACAACAATCACATCAAAAGCCAAATGTCAAAAACTTGAATTGTTGCATCTCATTGTGTTGTTGTCCTCCAGTGGCTAGCTAGCCAGCTAAAATTGGCCCTTTCCTAAATTGGCATGGATGGAGATAGGGATTTGGACTTATGGTTTTACTTAATTATCTGTACTGGCCAATGATTATAATGGCGATTCTGATCCAACCATAAATTCATACATTGTGCCCCTTGCCTGAGAGGATGGAAGTTCAATATGTAGCTAGACGATTATTAGTAGGCTAATGTTAACTAGCTGGCTCATCGTTGCATATGAAAGGAAGTTAGGCTAGCGAGCAAGCATTTTAGCCAGGTAGCCTAGGACAACAAAAACTAAAAGTGTGTAGGTTCTCTTTCAGGTATTTGTTTCGGTATTTCACTTATGGGATACGCCCCCAGCGTATTTGTCAGAAGCCTTTATTACACTACGCCAGCCATGATTGGCTAGACGTCGAGACATGTGCATCGGGGAGGGGCGTCCGTCCTACCCTATAAAAGCAGCATCTCTGAGTCATTCAAACACCTCTTCTCACTTTTCATCAGAAAGCTTACCTCAACACGACTGCATTTTCCGGAATTAGTTAAACTGCTCCTGTGGAAACATGATATCAACCAAGGACACCCACTCTGTGTGCTCCACTTGCCTTGGGCTGCAACATGCCCAGGAAGCGTTAGCCTCCCGGGCTGCTGTCGACACTGTGCCCTCTTCTCTGTTGCAGGCTAGCACGCCAAACAGAACCCTAACATGGGGGCTGGCGTCCCAGGTGGCTCATCAGAGACGATGGATATCCCCACCGGGAATCCTGGAGCGACGGCTAGCGCTAGCTGGGGCGACCAGCTCGATGCCATTGCCCTGCTGTTGGAGGAAACCAGCAACGACCTCGCGGGCTCCCTGCTGGGCTTCCTGATTGGAGACGATAACGACTCCATGGGGTTTCCCGACAGCCTCCTTTCAGAATCATCGGACGGAGACGAATACTCCTTCATCCCCTCAGGCCAAGCCACAAGCCTGCTGTCAGTAATCCGAAAACTGAGACGCAGGCGGGGCGCCATCCCCATCAGCTCTCGGTGTGGACCTGCAGGACGTGTGCAAATGCGCTACGGATAAACTGGTGATTCCCTGCAGTAGCAGAGACCACCACGTCCCGCTACGAGGGTAAGAGGCTACCCAAAGCCAAACGGGCGGCCAGGCAATTACTACCAGTCTTCCCAGAATGCCCAGAGGAGGTTACCCGTACCTGGAGTACACCTTTCTCCTCCAAGAACCCTGTCCAAGGTGGGTCGGTGTTGAACTGTGTTGACATGGAAGGGATTGGGCTTGCCCACATGCCCCCCATCGAACCCCTGGTAGCTTCTCATCTACACCCCAGCCAGAAGTCCTCCATGAGCTTGACTCGCCCCACTTTACCAACCAAGTACGAGCGCTTCCAGTCCTCCGCGACAGAGAAGGTCTACAGGTCGGTCGCCACAGCGATGAAGGCTCTCAGCACCGCCTCCATACTCTTGGCATACCAAGCTAAGGTACAGGAGGAGATAGCATTCACACTGGAGTTAGGTTTGTGGGACGAGATCTGCATTGCACAGACCTCAATCTGCATCTGCTTAAAGCCGCCGTCCAGGCGTCAGGAAGAGCGATGGGGCTCATGATATCCTAGGAGAGGGCGCAATGGCTCAGTCTATCCACGGTGTCTGAGAGTGAGAAGCTGAAGATCCTGGATGCTCTGGTAGACCCTAAAGGCCTTTTCGGTCCCACTGTCGAGATGAAGAAGAGGGAGGGTGAAGCTCTCCAAGTCTGTCTGCCCAGGAAGACACAGCCAAGTGCCTCCCCTTTGCCTCGCTGCACCTTCACCCAAGCTGCAGCAGGTCGACCCCCCTCAACCTTTAAGATCCCCAGACGGCCCCAGCCCCCCAGGCTGCGAGCCCAGGGCAGCAGAGAAACTTGGACCCTAAAGGCCCCTGGTCTAAGAAGCCTCCCTTCCCACCCATGGCACCAATGAGCCAGCCAGACCCTAACCCCACCCAGGGGGTAAGGAGGAAGAAGCGGATGGCTTAGCGATGTCCCCATCACCAGAGAGGCGAGAACGGGCCTCCCCCAAGCGCCGTTATATCTCCTCCACCAATCCTGAGCCTGTTCCAGTGTGAAAGTTCCCAGGCACCTCAGTGTTCTTTCTGGCGTACCGGGCCCAAGTCGGTGGTCACAGAGTACAGCCCAAAGAGGAGAAGAGACAATGTTCAAGTGGATGCTCCTACCTTTTGTCTCACAAACACTCCCCAATGTCAGTTCACATAAAATAATTAACATTAGCACAACCAGGCTACAGGCCAAGGGCGCAGTCAGACATGTTGTTTCTCACAAAATCAAAACAAACAGGGTGCCTCCCTATAACGCCACCAGAGGGAGCTACCGCTCCTTCTGTAGTGAAAGGCCGCATGAGCACTCTCCCGGTGCGGGCCAGCCGAGCATGCACAGCGCGTCGCGGACTGTCGTACACCCTCCCACCAACAGAGGGTGATGCTGCACCGTCTGTGGGGAGAAGCCCCGCAGTGTCAAACTGGGTACAGGGCACGATAGACAGGGCATACAGACTACAATTCGCTGTCACCCCACCTCGATTCAAAGGAATGATACACACTCAGGCTCAGCGGTAATCAGTGTGTCACGAATTCAGCCGAGGCTGCCCCTCCTCCTTGCTCGGGCAGGCTTCGGCGTTCGTCGCCACCGTGGTTGGAGTCGGCCAATTACGCACGGCCGAAATGCGGTCAATCTCCATCTCCACACCTGACGCGGACAGGCGGTGCCCTAGGAAGGAGATGGACTCTTGGAAGAACAGACATTTCTCAGCTTTCACATACATGCCGTGCATGTGTCCCTGGTGCGTCAAGTGCTTGGTCGACTGTTGGAGCATGACCTGTATGTGAAAGCGGAGAAATGTCTGTTCTTCCAAGAGTCCATCTCCTTCCTAGGGCACCGCCTGTCCGCGTCAGGTGTGGAGATGGAGATTGACCGCATTTCGGCCGTGCGTAATTGGCCGACTCCAACCACGGTGAAGGAGGTGCAGCGATTCTTGGGTTTTGGTAACTACTACCGGAGGTTTATCCAGGGCTTTGGTCAGGTAGCGGCTCCCGTTACCTCCTTGCTGAAGGGGGGACCGGTGCGACTGCAGTGGTCAGCTGAGGCGGACAGGGCTTTTGGTCAGCTGAAGGACCTGTTTACCTCGGCTCCAGTGCTGGCT